GGCTTTTGCCTTTCTAACTTCCACTCTGCGCGACCTAACGAGTGTCCTGAATCTTTGTTCTATTTTATTAAAAAATGTGCAGGGCAACATCTGTGCACAGTCAAATTCAAGAATATAAGAGACCATGTGGAAAGTAATAATACCAGAGGAAAAAACTAACTGCATAAATGAAATTAAAGAGAAATATTAGGCAGGAGCCATCTAGGACCATCCATGGTCCTAATAATGTTACAAATACATACGCTGACTGAAAAAAAAAAAAAAGTGGTCATCAGTTTATCATTACAAATTACTATTTTACAGGACCAAAGACATGTATGAATAGCTGCACATGAGGCCTAGAAAAAGGAAGAAGAGGAAAGATTGTGATTCTGACTTTTAAATATGTGAGAAGTGCATCTCTTATTCCTGCAAGTGACTAAAATGAGATCAAATAGCTCGCCTAACGCTGATTAGTTAAGTATGTGCTGAACATCCTGTTGAATCAGAGAGCACTGGGACAGATAAAAGAAGGATCTCTTTATTGAAAGACAGTATGTCTGGCATCTAACTGTTTTCTTTAGGGGCTTAGTTTTCCATGTTTTTAAGTTGCAGATGAGAACAATGTTATCTTCAAGGATGGTGAAAGTTTGCTTCCGTTAACATAGAAGAACGGAAGTGCTTTGATCTACTTGTAGAAAAACATTATAGAAACATTTAAATAAAGGCATCATCGTGCAATCCCGCATACTTAGATAGGACAGTTGTATCTCAATTCTCGCAATTGCTTTCATGTGCAGGAGTGTTACAATCTATAGGTGCTGCCACAAACTAAACAGTAAGAACTTGCTCAGGGCACAGTGACTTAAAATCCACTCTTACTCTACTATTCACAAAATAATTGTTTCAGAAAGAACATTTAATAGATCACGCTGTACTTTAAATACAAAGGAACACCTTTTTTTATGCATTAACTCCAGTGAGTATGTAGTTCAGTCACTCCTTCCACCTCTTTGCAACTGACCATGAAGAGTAAACAAAATATTTTGTCTTTTGCCTGTTAGGTTTGCACTTACAGCTGAGGACTTCTTAAGTATGTGTTTCGGGAGCTCAGCGTAGCTCTTCAGTGAGTCTGAATTGCAATGGTAACAGTGAGATCAAGCCTAACAGAGGGAGTGCATGAGCAGTCTGGAACTTCATTATGGAAGAAGCTACAATCATGTAGAAGGATCTTTCAATCCAAGGCCTTAATGCTGCAGTGAACTCTTCTGGTCCGTCCTCTACATCCATGTGAGGTTCACTGTGGGATCATTGCCTGTGACAGATCCGGTGAACAACGTAAAAAGAGTCACTGGCTTCATTGCTTCCAGTCCAGCAACTGCCACCTCATCTTTCCCCCTGTTGTTCTCTCTCAGTCTCAGCCTTATGCACTTCTCTTTGTTTAAAACCAAAACTTACCTGTTTTCTGTGTGCATCTGTTTATTGTATAGAAGTACACCACAAAAAGCTGTTGTCGGGTAAAAATTTTGCTGTCCATACAGCAAAAAGGAGAAATGTTCTCCGCATCTCATTTTTGGTTCACCAGTCAAGGATTTCACACTGGTGCTGACAGTTGCTGCCAAAGCATTGCTTTTTCGGTTTACAAAGTATTAAACAGCAGCTTCCCTGCAAAAAAGATAATCTGAGAACAAAGCATTTGACAACTAGCTATGGTCACCTGGTTTTGTCTAAAAATCAAGAAATCAGAGAAGTTTTGAATGGTTTCCTTTTGAAATTTCAAAAAATAGCTTAATTTGTCTTTCACAAAGAAAGAAACACAAAAATGTCCTTTCTTGTAGGCAATGCTGGGACGAGGGAATGGAGAGTCCTCAAGAAAGAAAGAGGAAGAGGAAGTTCAGAGCAGGCACAGACTGATTCCTGTTGGAAGAAAGATTTATGAGTTCTACAATGCTCCCATCGTTAAGTTTTGGTTTTACACAGTAAGAAATCTTTCCTGTTATATTACTAATGTTTGGACAAATACTGAAATTGGATTAAGGTCGTCTTGTGTGTTTCACTGGAAGTCTGTATCTGCAGGCATTGGAGAGCTTACCCATAAATAGTTTAATAAAAACCTTTTGTGGAGGTCAGCTAGCACTTGCAAACCTGTCTAAGACTTTTAAAGACTACCGTTTCATTCAGAAAGTTAATGGTTAAAATTTGAATGACTGTATATGTTTTTCTTCAAATACAACAGTAAGAGGCAGTTTGCTGCAGTCAGTGCTCCCAAGGAATTCCCTATAGGAGAATTCCCAATAGGAGAGTTCCCGATAGTAAGCCCAAAGGGAGGTTGGGCTGAATCAGGATATCGAATTGTATAATAATTGATGGAAAAAAGAAGCAGATAGAGCACATCTTTTCTTGGAACACTTTTTCTTTGTTCTGTTTTGACTAGTCTGCAGAGTGTCTCTCAGATAAAGTGTTTGTGTAAGTACCCACAAGACAACAAAGACACGAGTAGCAGCTAATGTACGTTTTCTGAGGACAAATTATGTCAAATCAGTATAATCTACACGAGTTATAAAGAAACAGACCTTGCAGTTGGAGCAGAAAAAAAATTATGTCATATATTTTGACTAAAGTAAGACAGTGTCAAAAACTTTACAGGATATTCTCACAGATAAATTAATAACCGCTATATTAAAATTACTATGTGGATACAAAACTTTTTTGCAATTAGTCCTCAACAGTAGATATAATTATTCACTATCAAGCTGGAAGCAGGGATTGGAAGGGATTCCACCAGGGTCTCTCCTACATCAGGTGCTATCTGATATTTTCATTCAAAGCTTGGATGATGGAGTAGAGATCAGTTATTAAATTTGCAAATTGCACTAGAAGGTAGAAAGATGAGATCAAAAAGTACAATGAACACAGAAAGTAATCCTTTCACTCTCCTTGGCTGGAATATTCTATCCCAGTTCAGCTTCTGCATCATGTCACAAGTATGGACTGGTTTGAAGGACACAAAAAAGAACAAGAAAAATTTTTCAAGATGTCTGTAAAATATGAGTTAAGGGGAAAGATTTAAGGAAGTGAGGTTGTTTTCTCTGGAAAAAAGAAGTCTGCAGAAGGAACGTAATAGTCTTCAAATATGTGTAAGTAGCTGCAGAGAGGAACAAAATGGAATAATCTCCAAATCCTTTCTGAATAGTACAAGAAGTAATGGTTTAAATTGCAGCAAGGCAGTTCTAGGTAAGATGTTACGAACAGTTTCTAACTGCTCTGAGAAGTACTGTTATAAACTGTGTAAAGAGACGGTAGATTTTCCATTATTAGTGATTTTTAAGTTTATCTTATCAAAACATATGTCCATTGTGGTACACTGTAATTAATCCTGCCTCAGCACCATCAAGTTGGCCAGATAATTTCAGGTGGTCCTTCCCAGTTATATTTTCCGTCATTCTACTGAATGCATAGCAAATCACAAGGAATGCATCCTTCTGCAGATGACATAAGAAAAATTGCCTTGCTGAGATCCATGCAATATGTCTACAAACCGCAGGAACAACTCTCACATCAACAGAGACTAAACTGTGGTGGAGAGCTTATGCTAGCAAATAGCTCCTGTTTGGCAACTTGGAGTAACTACTTGCTGTGGCCATTGAACATTGATCAGGCCAATGAGTCTAGAAAGTGTGCATCAGCAGCCTAGTCTCATTATCAATTGCAATATGTATTATGCATAACCAGAAAAGTCTTTACACTGTAAACAGAAAAAAGCATCCTGGCTCTCCCTGTTAGTTCAATTCTGAAATGGGAGAAAAAGATCAATATTGCATTTCCATTTAGACCTGTTCCTACAGTTTTATGTCCTGAGGCAGGTCTCAGTCAAGGTCACTTATTAAAGCTGGATCTTGGCTACACTGAACTTGAATAGCAAATTAATGTGGATTATGGCTGCAGTGCTTGACCAGTTGGGTATATAAGAAACTCCTGGAGACTAAAAGCAAAACAGCTTTCAGACGAGGGTTAAAATTGCACAGCCTATCACATTTTTTACAAGCACACAAGGAGAAATACTAATCATAGATTTCAGAAGAAATCCTCCAAATTTTACATTCCATAGTCCAAAATGCAAGAAAAGTGACTATACTTATGGCTATTGTATGCCATTTAAAATAATTTGATTATTCTACATCTACCTATCTGCTATTGCTCTAAAGCTATATCCACCTTCATTCTTAAAATACACAAGAGTGGGTTAAATGTGGGGATGTTTGAGTAAGTAACATGAGCAGTGTAAGTAAGCAGATGAGCCAAAATAAACAGCTTTTTCTCAACCAAAAAACCTCCAGCCTTTCTCTCTGGGCATGCGGTAGTTTCAAAAGTCAACTACTCTGTTCTGTTTTGCGGCTGTTGCATTGAAAACCATGACTCAAAGGTTTCATCTCACAGATTGCTTGAGGAGAAGAGGACGGCCTTCCCCTTTTAACTTTAGGCTGAGATGCTAGCAGGATGTAAGAGGCCACATTTCTACCTCTTCTGAGGAGGAATAGCTGCAGAGGCAATTGAACCCCGAGTAAGAGTCATCCTCTAAACATCAAAACAGCTTTGCCCTAAGTATTGCATTTTGGGACCATGTCACTTTATGATCATTTAATTATTGCAATCAGTGAGAGAAGGGGAAGGCAGTCTCCCTCTTGAAGCACTCTCCTGCCAGTAAAATTTCCAGGTTTGTCCTTTACCATAATAAGTATTCAAGTATTTTCAATAGAATGGGACAGCATCCATAGGAGGGCAGGGAGCAACCCACCCTAGAAACTTCTTAGCAGGCATTCCTCTCCTTAGTTTCTTCAGGTTCTGCCCTCAGGAGTGAAAATGGCAGCCCCTACCTCTTTGTCAAGCCATGTAAAAGCAAGAAAAAGAGGGTTCAGCTGCTTGTGTAGTAGCACTTTCAAAGAATCCTGAGTACCATCATGGGCAGCTGTACTGAGGTTTGACCACAGTGTGGGATCAGGACACCCTCCTGGAAGGCAGGAGCAAGTTTCAAGTCCAGAGCGGGAGAAGGAGGGTGTCACTCACTATCTGAAGGTCTTGTTTCTTGGGTTAAAGTGGTGCAGTTTCAGCATCATTTTATTCTTAAATCAAGATTTTGTTTTTCCTTTTCTTTTCGTTTCTTTTTTTTTGGCCAAGCAAAAATTTTCAGCAGTTTTCAGTAAATTTGGGTTGACAGAAAAAACAAACAAACCCAAACCCAAAAAAACCCAACACCTCAAAAGAAAACCAAGAAGAAATAGAAGCCCCTCATTCCACTGAGACTCTCGTGGTTTCTGTTAGCTTTGTAACCTTAATGTCCCTATTCTTTTGCCATATTGAATGCAAATGCTCACCAAAGGCTGCTGAGTCAGACCAAATTAATAAGATTTGCTGATAATAAATAATCAATACGTTCTAAGAGGAGGGGTGTTAGGCGACCAGGTATCACCTGGCTTTTTGCACTATAGTAGAAGGTGTTATTTCAGCTAGGGAGGTGTGTGTCCAGTTCTGCCTGCCCAGACAGAGTTTCTGCTGACTCAGCTGACACCCTAGATGCTGATCTAAGCCAATATTGCTCTCCGTTTCCTGTAGGAGTGTTAAGGGAAGATGAATCTCTAGACCTGATCATTGCATCCATCATTACGCACAAACTGAAAGACAAATGAGATCATTTCCTCCTCTGTTTATGTAGACGAGAAGCAGTGGTTCAGCTGGCTGTCTTCTCTGTACTGATAGTTACGGCCAATGTAAAGAATTCTCTCGAGTGTCCTTCAAACCAGCAGCTATAAGAAAAGCCAGAACCCTGTGGCTTTTACACAGAGCAGAAGTGATATTCTCTAGCAAATACAACAGAACTATAAATCCTGTTCTGTGAGGTGCTGAACACTGAAATAATCCTACCCAAAAGTCTCAAGCCCCTCTGTAGTTTCATGTCAGGTCTGACACCAAGTACACAATAGTTGTTAGTAACATGCGTTGAGAGAGAAAAACTGTATTGAAATACAGATGTATGGAATAAGCTTTCTGCCACAATGACTAAAATGTTCATGCACAGAAGTGAATCATCTTTTCTCTGATTTAAATTTGTCTTAAGATGCATTTTCTTGTAGGGCTGCTGTTTGAAAGGCAAAGTAGACAGGCAGATGGATCCTGGCCATCACAGCCATTCACTCTTCCTACAGCCCATGCTCCAGTGTGACACTCAGGTTTCTCTGAGTTTTATGAACTTGATGATGCAATTTGCCTGCCTTGTCTTTTTTTGACTGACCATTTCATTACACTCAGCATGTAGAAAGAAAGGAAAAAGAAACTAAAAACATAATCCACACTTTCCACTGTATCAAAAATTAGGCCAGAAGGTACATATATTAGAGAAGGAAAAGCAAAACAGTTATACGTAAAAACTTGCAAAAAATGTAAGGCAAATGAATGCATGGCTATGCCCGACTACTTGCTGCAGCAATGTGACTAGGAGTAGCAGTGCTTTGGGGAGGAACCATGGTATAGGTTAGCTCAGTACTAGACTGGGTAGGAAGACCTCTAGCAACACCTAGGACCTTCTGGATTTGGAAGGATTTGGAATGCTAGAGTCAGCCTAGGCAGCATGAACAGGGGGAAAAAACACAGAGGAGGGGTGTTAGAGGAATAAAGGGTGTTAGAAGCAGACAAGGGAGAAATCTTCACATAGGAAACTTAGTTTGGTAGTTGGCAAAGTGGTATCACAGTTCCCATCACTTGGGATGATCCAGGTGGGCTGCATTAATACAATTTTGTTGGGGAGCCAGATGTAGCTGGGGGAGAGGACGTGTGTGCATGTATTTCCACACTGTATCTGATTTAATGCGAGCTTTTTCAGACAACCTAGAACACTGTCTGATTGTTCGTCTGCTTAACTCTGGTTATAGTGGAATTAGGAATATCAAATCATACCCAAGAAACTGGCTCAGTCATATAAATATAGTGACTATTGATATTAATTTTATTTCTTTACAGCTGGCATATATAGGCTACTTGATGCTGTTCAATTATATAGTGTTAGTGAAGATGGATCGCTGGCCATCTACACAGGAATGGATTGTCATCTCGTACATTTTCACTCTGGGAATAGAGAAGATGAGAGAGGTAAAATCACCCCAACCAAGAAAGACAGAATAAAAAAGAAATAAGCATGGGGTTTTTCATTTTAATACCTGTTTTTATTATTCTTCTTAGGATAATTTTGATGAACAGGCTTATCATAAAATTGTGGGGCTTTTACAGAAAAGCAGATGGATTGTTAAAAACACAGCACTAAAAAATCTATCTTCCTCCATTTTAAAATCAAGAATATCTCTCTTTCGTTCTTTTTCTCCTGTGGAATATCTCTGTTCAGATTTCTATGTGATGCATGTTTAATAGCATTCACAAGTATGGGGCAGTCTTCTGACATATCTTAAAGCTCGGCTATATTCCTTGAAATGTGGCCCAGAAACTGATGTTTCAGGAAGAGGAAAAGATCTAACAGAATGGACAGGGAGACATGGTGATAGCATGACAACTGAAAAGTCCATGTTCAAATTCCCACCCCACCCCAAATAGAGTTCATTCAAACTTTATAGCTGTTCTGTCTGTCCAAGTATGTCATGCAAAGGTTTTAAATAAAACCAGCCATAACTGGGGGAAAATTTAGATCCACTTTGAATACTGCAGCACATTTCTAATAGGATTTCCCCCTTTTAATCTTGAAAATTTTTGCTAATTATGTCAAGCAATAGCATGCATCTCCCTAAAGACGCTAAAGCAGACACATAGAGCAGAGATAAAGCATTTAAGGTGGCGCTCAGTCTATAGGCAGAGTAAAGTTGTTCTGCCATCCTCTGCCCCTCATGGTCTCTCCCACTTGCACCTACCGCTGCACCCTTTTCACTTGGCCAAATGTGCATTTACTCCACATAGGCCGTTCAGCCCTGATGTGAGTGGATGTGAGTCCTGTTGATCTCAGCTGAAACAGCACATTTGTACCCTTGGGCTGAATTTGTTACCATCTACATCTGTATTTTCTGCAGCAAATGCTTTTGCGGACTAGACTAAAAATGGTCTTGCAACAGCCACTTAGGCTCCAAAGACAGATTTCAAACACTGTACGGTAAATTCTACATCATAAAAAGAATGGAGGACAAGACACTACTTGTGTGGCCTATAACGAGTGTACTTTACTAACCAAAAGAAAAAGGAAAACAGTGGCAGTAGCCACACAAGGACTCTGCAACACTGTCAGAGACAAAGCACCGCTGGCTCAGTAGGTGGGAGGCTGCTGGCAGGAATCATGTGTGCCATTTTTGTCTAATCATTCACCCCAAATTGTCCTTTCCACAAAAGTTTATCAAGAACATTTGTTGGAATGGATTTCTAAGCAGATGTTGGAGATTGTTCACAGAAGATGAGCCTAAAATTCATTCTGAAATGAATTATAAGAAAATTATGAGAACGGCATTCATCTTTTTAAGGAACTGTATGAGTCTGCTCAAATGTTCTCAGGCTAAATATAGAAAATTAAAACAAACAGCTTGTTAACTCACTAAAAGCTAGAAATTATTCATAAAAATCACTTGAGGAATAGTTTCAACAGTAATTCAGGAAAACAATCAAGTCTCCCAAATGATCTTGCAAATAGAACGACGATAAATTCAAAAGGTAAAATTAAGTATTTTTGTTAATTATATTCTCAGCTGTGGAACTTAATTTCCAAAAACAGGTCCAAGTGGTAGCCAGTATCTCTTTGGATTAAATGCCAAATCCAGATCTTTATGCTTATTAATTGTTTCTTGACAGTTTGATACACATTTTAGTATAATTTTCTTTAAACTACAGCTTCTTTAAATGTGAATTTTCTGCTGAAATATCTTTCTGTATTTCTCCCTCTATTCCAAGACTCTAAGTAGGATCTATAAATTTGAAAAACAGAAAGATATACATGTATTTCTTCTGATTTCATGGAGATTTTAGAGCGAGGGAGATTTTCATCCTTTTTCTTTCAAGTATCTTGCACATAGATACAGGATAAGAATGGTTGAAATGGAATATTTCTCAAAAAAATCAGAGAGTACATAAGATATTTATATGATAGGAGTCTATCACCTTTGCTTTTGGCCTGTGTGGCATATATCTGTTTACTATAGATTTCTTCAAGCTTAAATTAAGACAGCTCAGCTCCTTTCCTCTCCATGTCTTCTGTCCTTCAGATATTGATGTCAGAACCCGGGAAACTGTTACAGAAAGTAAAAGTTTGGCTTCAGGAGTACTGGAACGTTACTGATCTCATAGCTATCCTCCTGTTCTCCGTTGGGATGGTGCTCCGTCTGCAGGATCTGCCACTCAGGAGTGATGGCCGAGTGATATACTGTGTTAACATCATTTACTGGTATATACGGTTATTAGACATCTTCGGAGTAAACAAGTATTTGGGACCATATGTCATGATGATTGGAAAAATGGTAAGAGAAGTTGGTGTACTCCTTCTGTGTTTTACCAGCATGTTCTTGACTCAATGTCTTTGGCCAATGACGTCACTACAGATTTATCGCTATTTTTATTACACAGTAGCATGTTGCTCGTATGAGTTAAAGAAAATGGCTGAGTTTACAGATGCACATGCACACGTCCTGATATTTGAGTACCTGCACATGTAGCTAATACACCTGCTCACGTTTTATATGCAGTTATCCAGCCTTTGTTGTGTAAATCGTGGCTGTTTCATGCCTTCTAGCGTTTAAGATTTTTTTCTTTTAAATAGAATAAAAAACCCTTGAAGGTGGTATTCAGCAAAAAAAAGTAAACTGAATATTAACTTTTCTAAATACAAATATTACTGCTGTCTGATTACTGTATGGACAATAATCAGCAAGTCCAAATAGGCTGTCTGTTGTGTTTGCCTTAGCACGGTCCTTAAAGAAAAGACCCAGCCACCGTCCTTCCTCACCATCATAGGAAAAGGGGACATATATGAATGCATGGACTACAATCCCTCCTTGACATTACATTAGTCACAACAAGCTCAATGATTCTAAGCAGGTATAAAACTGAAATGCAAAATACATGTCCAGTTAGGCTCCCTACCCAACAGGTGACCGGAGAACCATTGTCTTCACTTTATGAGCTTTCAATTCCAAACCCATAGTGGTAGGTTTGACAAGAAAGAACAGCTTAGTGAAAAAAAAAAAAAAGAGATAGAGTGAAAACACAAAAGAAAGTGGTTGTTGAATCGTTATGTCCTGCAAACAGGATTTTGAAGTGTGCTACCTTCCTTCAAGGAAGCCAATAGGCTATTGATGGGATGGATTTTGCAGAGCTCCAGAGTACAGAGGTGAAAACACCCAACAGTTCTTGCTGGAGGTTATTGTAAAAGGACGAGAAAAAGGACTAAAGACCAAAGGGAAAAGACTGCATTATCATGTTTCTTTCCTGCGCCGCCCGAACTATGTCCCTCCATCTGGTGGTCACTAGGGCTTACACAATACACAGTGTATAAAACTCCTAAAAAACAACTACCCTCCCACTCTGTTGTATTTTTCACAGGTGCCATGCATGAAAGTTTCAGAACTGTGGCGCCAGCAGTCTGAAAACCAGTTCAATAATAAACAGATTGGCCATGAATAACAAACTTCTAGTAGTCAGTGTTATGGATGGCTGACAGGAGCCCAGCTTCATCAATAGTATAAACAGTGGTTTATTTTTCTCCTGGGGTCAACACAGAAAGGAAGTGGTTGAAATCAGCAAAATAATATCATTTCCATTTCTTTGTCATCCTCACATGTGTATAACAATGTGTACACTCCGCCTTCTGTGGAAAACAAATGCAGGAAAATCACTAGCCTCTGTAGACTCAGCACCCACTCAGAGGGTGTTGAATTTAGCTACCAGAGTACTCTGAAGGTGTGGGCAACTGTTAAAGGAGGGAAGTTCTTTTATTTTGTGCCTTCCTGTTATTTGATTTTCATACCTCATCCAACTTTCCATGCATTCAGCAACTCTGACACATCCACTTTGCCAACACATGCAATGCCCAATTTGCCTCTCACATCTATTTTCTGGCCAACTTACTCCCCTGTGTAATGGCCAGCCCATTTATATCATGCACAGACTTCCCTGGGATTTGCACCTGCTTTCTCCAGGCTGCAATGGGCTCCCTTGTGTATTTTTGTTTAAATCACATGTCCATTTACTCCCTTGGATTCTGTCTTTTTCGTTTCATGGTCTTGCAAGTACCATTCAGTACTATCGAGAACATCAAGCTGGTTATACATATTTCTATAGAGTAAGCCCATCACAGCTATTGAGTTCCTCAACAGACCATATTTAACGCCTGAGCGTTTATCCTCAGCTTCTACTGTGAGTAAGTTTTAGACTCAGGAGGAAAAAGATTACTTTCTCCATCATTCCAATGTTAAGGAACTTTCTCTTCACCTGCCTCTACACTGTATCCAACAAAATAGGTCTTACCTCTGGGCACTGTGAACAAATATGCAAGTGAAATTAAGCAAGGGGCAAGAATGGGCTTGAGCAGTTTAAAAGCAATGGGTTAAAGCAAAGGTAAAGATAGGAGGAGGAAGCTGAACAGCCATGTTTATTACTATCTACTAATTTCAGTAGCAGAATGTGCTCATTATAATGTCCTTTTCTGATCTCTGCACGGTGATAGATTTACTCCCCTTTTATTTGGGAATGAAATGAAATCACTGTGGAATGTCAAGAGAGTCAGAGGTATATCATACATATTACTGTATGGGAATGGCTACATTTTCTTAGCTTCTCTGCAAATAAAAAGGGGGAAATTGAGCCAGCTTGTTTATAAAACTGCACCAACAGTTACTCATTTTATCGCTTTTTTAAATAGGTGACTAATGAGTTCTTCAGAATTATTGAAATGGCCACTGCCTTGTTAAAAAAGCAATTGCAATTTGACCCTACAGGCCAAAGGGCCTGATACAATGCCCATTAGAGCCAGTGGAAACTTGCCCATCTGTTTCACTGGATTTCAGACATGCTACTGAAGTTTTAGAAGGATACCCAGCTGAAGGAGGGAAAAGCTAATATGCAGCTTGAATAGACAATAGCACTGAAAATTTTACTTCTTGCAACATGAGGTCAAACCTGATCTGATTTCTGATCAAAGACACTGAAAACATTTAAGAAATTGCCTTAAATTGCCACTAAATACTCATTATGTTTATTTGCTTGCATGACATTTAAAAATAGATATATGACATCATATCATGTTATACATTTCTACCTGAAACAAAGTTTCATCAGAGAAGAAAGGAGGAACCAGGTTTCATCTCCAAATTCCTTCCCTAAAAGCAGTAAGAACTAAATGCAATTATGCAGCTTTCCCATTTCAGGATGCTCTCTGAGGTACAATGATCTGTAATTCCTCTTCAGTAAGGTTTTCTTGAGAGATTAATGCTCTGAATAACACAGAAATATCGGTGATTTACTTGTCTGTTTTTAGTTCTTTAAGGCATTTATTTTCCTCTCTCATGTCCCCAGGTTTTTTTCTTTCTTTCCTGCATTTTTTATGGACCTCAAGACTTTTGTTTTCCCCTGTTTTTTTTCGTTTGTCCCCAGTTCCTTCTGTCCACCTCCTTGAGTCTCTCATACCAGAACCCTGCCCTACAGGTGTCTTTCTCCTACAGCCTCTCTCTCAGTAAATATGAGAATATACTTTTCTGTTTGCTCCTCTGTATACCTCTCTTGTCTCTGTTAGATACTTTCCCAGTGTTACTTTGACCGCAGGTTTCTCTCCTTGTGCTTTAAAACTGAAGAACCCCCACAGCAGTGCCAGATCCATCTGCTGCAAATGAGTACCCTCTTCCACCAGCAACTCTGCTCTTGAGCTGCAGCAAGTCCCCCATGGAGCAACAAGGCCACTGGTTGAGGTGCAGGTTGGTTGCACACCTGCCTCGCAGGGAAGGCAGAATGCAGCTGAGCCAGAAAATGCAGAGACTGAAGGGATTAAAACTCATAAGGTTTAGAGGAGTTTGGGGTCGAGTTTTGGCCAAAGACAAAAGTTACATCCAAAGCTGTGAAAAACAGCTCTGTCGTAACAAGATTGGTAACTGAAGACCTATAAGTAAACCTGTAACTAAAGGTTTTAAAGGGATCTTACCAGGGACTTTACAGGACTCCCCTTCTTTTCACATTCATTTTGGGATATAAAGCATCTCTGATGTACCTGCTTGATGCCCATTGCTCTGCTCTCTGGAGGGTCTTTTCTAGCACAGCTCCTCTTCTAATCTTCAGCCTCTATTCAGCACCTCCTAGGACTGTTGTTGCACTTCTTCCAGGAAAATTTTGAATGTGTAGGCACTGTTTGCAAGCACTAATTAAACTTGTGCATATGCTAATGAGGCCTTCAACAAGAGAAGAATAGAGTTGAGTGTCTGTGTTATCTGCTTTTTTTTTTTTTTCAAATATGGCCTTTGGGAGACTCCCCCACCAAGCTGATTTCTAGTCCAGCCAGTATCTCAGTTTTCCTTTCTCACTGGTTGCCACCATGGTGTCCCATATGTTGCAGTAACAGGCTGTTCTGCCACCCGTTACTCCTTATGTCAGATGCAGCTTCCTTCCTTTACTCCAAAACAATGACTACCAGTGAGTAAAATAACCCATGTCAGCGCTTTTGTTTTGGTACAGTCGCCACTAGGTGCCTATCAACAACACATCATCTCGTGACCCAGTGAAACTATATTCTTGTTCAGGCAACTGATGTGACCAGATGGTATCTTGCATTTTCAAGCCTATTCGTAACATTTAAATTGTTTTTAAAAGCAACACTGGGTAAAACCAAGGACAAAATAATACCGCTTCACTTCTTTGAAAATGAAGTTTGTTATGTGTAAAACTGAGAATGGCTTTTCAAAATTTGTTTTTGAAAATTCTGTTTCTAAAATTTACAGACTTTTTTTGCAGCATATAATAATAGGAATATGGACAAATAAGTTCCTCTAATTCTTGTCCCTTCTCTCTCTTTCTCTCTCTTTTCCTGTCATTACATTCAGATGATAGACATGATGTACTTTGTCATCATCATGTTGGTGGTTCTGATGAGCTTTGGTGTCGCAAGACAGGCTATTCTCTTCCCCAATGAGGAGCCTTCTTGGAAGCTGGCGAAAAACATTTTTTACATGCCTTATTGGATGATCTATGGGGAAGTGTTTGCAGACCAGATAGACCGTAAGCAAGTTTATGATTCTCATACTCCAAAGTCAGGTATCCAACTTTGATCGGATAATGTCCTATTAGATCATGTGTACGTGCTCAATAAATGGCTCAGGATAGAGGAGCTCCTTCATCACAGAGAATGGTCACAAAAATATTTTTTCAGCTAATATTGGGGTGTCAGTTTCAGAACATGCTTCTGGCATCACTTGGCAATTATTTAACAAGAAATCTGTAATGCTAAATTATCTTGCATATGAAGAACATTTTAAATGGTTCCTTTTTACCAGTTGGGTGACAGGGATACCTTCCCAAGTATCCGCCATGAGTTCATTGGTATACCTGGGACATAAAAAGTCCCTTCTTCTTTTCTCATCAATTGGTTTGATTTTAGACCTAAATACTTTTTACCTAACTTCATACTGAGCATCAAGTCTAATAATACTGGGTTAGACGTTCAGCTCCTGCACTTCATGAGGATCTAATCCAATGTGTTTTCTTTTCTCTGTTACCTACTCACTGCCACCACCTTTACGCTAAACCATGTGATGCAATTCTTTGGGGACAACAGATCCATTATTAGAATTTTGCTTTATTTATTTATTGGAAGGCAAGACTGTGGTCACGTCAGTGCAAACAGAACAAAAGCCAGTATTTCATATACTACCTCCTCAGGATTCATTTGGCTGGTGATCAGGAAAATGCCAGTTTTCTATTTAAATTAAACCTCCTGGTGCCACCCGGTGCATTACGCCAACGGAGAGGGGTGGTCATGAGAAATGATGTTGTAGATGAACAAACTAAGAATCACAAACAATGTATTTTTAGCAAACACTTACATGCAACTGATGTTCATCATTCCTACTTAAATATGCGTAAGCCTTGGCAGCATTTAGAAGTATCTTTTCCGGTGGCAGATGGCATCCATTAAAGCTCTGTTTAGGATATTCCTTTTTATCCTGTGTACCACCTTAGGAAAGGGCAGTGTTTTCATAATTTATCTTCTGCTTGTTCAGTATCGACCAAGTTTGAATGGAAAAAAGGTGTTGATTTTTCCTAAACTGGTTAAGGTAATAAATGTATTTTTTAATATATAAATCACCAATAATCCCCCCAACTTAACGGCGTTTCAGATAGACAGATGTATACATATCACACGGAAGATATTTCAGAAGCTCCATGTTCATTTCTTCTTCCTGGTTAGCACAGAATCATTACTGTGGATACAGATGAAACCTCTTTTTTATGTTTACTTCCCCATTTTGTTTTCAGAGGCAGCATGGAATGCAAGGAAGTAAACAAATACCTAAAATCACAAAGTTTCTCACTGAGTTTAGCTTTTTACCCGACTCCCTCATTTTTATCTTCTCCTTTTCTTTTCTTTTTAAAAATTCATTTCACTCCAAAGGCATCACAGCTGGGGGTATAAAACTTCATCTTGCTCCAAAAGCATAACAGAGTGATAAAGGTTTATCCCCTGAAACTATGACTTCCTTCCACAAGCAGAATTCTGTCTGTTCCTCTACGAGTGGCCATTTATTGATGTTGTACTAAGTAACTGCCACAGTGCAACAAACATGGCAATTGGCTGAATAAAAAGTTCTTGGTTTTTTTTTTAATGAAGTGCTGATTATAGTTTAGAACCCCGAAACCTGAGAAACTAAAGTATCTTTTAATGAAGCATTGTTTTTAAGTATGAAAAGAGGGTAGCAGGCTCCATACCCTTGCATGAGGATTTAGGCATAGTCTTGCCCAATATTTAAACCTTGCAAAAAGATGCAGAGTAATTACTTCTGAGGCTTAGGGA